TATATATAATGCAGAGTATAAACTTACAATTCAGTAAAATGAACTGCCGGAAACCACATTCTTGGTAAATCACCTTTGTATCGCACGATTCTTTCAACATTTCCATAGTCTTGTGGTTCCCAAACAATTCTTTTATCTATCCAATGCTAGATAAGACATTTCTGCTTGAAAAATTCTCGTCGTAGAAGTTTTAGAAAATAAAAAATAATTTTGAACTTACAAATAGTATGCTACAATGCATTTCTATTAACTGCTGCTTTTGATCCTGGAAAACATGTTTAATTGTTTTTGTTTATGAAGCCCATAAAATATGATAAAAGAAACTTATGATTAAGTTTGCAATGAACCTTGAGAAAAACTGTAGCTGCTTAAAAATTATGATTCTGAATCTCTTCCACTTGCAAATAAATTAATAAAGCAATTTAATTTATGAAACAAACAAGTTGTTCAATATGATCGATGAACATAAACGGTAAAATAGTAGTGGGCAACTCCGAAGGCAACGAGTAATCGTAGCTATCTTTCCGAAATATTTTCTTCAACAATATTTTCTCATTCTCCGTTATTTTCTATAAACAAAAATCATTTCTTCGACAAAAAACGTACTACCATAAAATTTCGCCATGATTCTTTTGAATGTTTCTAAAGATGAAAAATAAAATGAAAAAATGTCATAAAAATGAAAATATATTATGTAGCGGTTGACAAAAAGTATCTTTAAAAGGTCTGATTAATACAAAGACACCTGAATGGTTTTCATTTGTTCGCTAAGAGATAAAATTGAGAGTATAAGTAAAACTTTTGAAGTGAAAGCCATGAACGTTGAGTATCAGTGAATATTATCTGTAAAATCCGTATAAAGTTAAATCAGATTTCGGTGCAAGAAAATGATCAATGAGCTCAGACTTGATTATAAGCATCTACGAAATCCGATTTAAGCAATTTTCTTTTGCGCAGCAAAATCTCGCGAAATCAAGCAGCAATAAAATTTCATTAAACTTAGAGAAGCTGCAAAACTATTGTACCGCAGACTAAGAAGTGGAGAAAACGTTAAAAGAAGTGTCTCAGTATAGTTTATATATATATCCATGTATATATAAACCAAATAATTTATAAACATTCAACTGCTATCAAATATCAAAATTTTCATTAACGCTATAACTTTTCCAGACTAGCAGTGCGTACTATTTAAAACTAAAGTAGACCAATATTTAAGAGTTTAAAACTTTTAAAAACCTGATTCGAGCTATTTTTAAGGCGACTGGTTAAAAAGTTACAACACCAATTAACTAATGCAATTCTTCATGAATAAAATGAAAAATATGCATATCATACCTATCCAACAGCAATCATTGTTTTGAAAGAAGTATTTTAGAATGGACTAATCACAAATATTACAAAATTGAAGTGAGACTTAAATTACTGAACTGATTCGATAATTATCAATAAAATTGAAAGGTAGTACATAGTTTAATGATAAGGAACATACCATCGAAGAGTGCTATAGTATCTGTGCTAGTGAGATTCCCATCAAACTTCAAAATAATTCATATACACGATATCCACAAATTCGTACTCCTTCATTTGGAATTTAATTTTAGCAAGGCATACACTGCCTCTCTTAGGTAAAAAAGATCTTGATAGTTGAATGGCATTAAGTTCCATTCACTAGAATTTACCATTTGGATTTGCGAAATTTCTACCAAATTTATGTGAATCAAAACGACTTTATGAAGGAAGAACATGCATCAAAATAAGTGGACTGAGCCATCAAATAAGATCTGTAATAAGTGAAGACAGCGGGTACTCATGTTTTGGATTAAGGGATTTGTTTTCATAAAATACCAAGCTATGTACTGTAAATGTAATTTAGACAGAAAACATAGCTAAAATGCAGCAGAGTACAGGATCGTAATGTACGTATCCCATTGAAATACGCAACTTATTAACTAAACAGGAACAGTTTCCCTCCACTCAAACATGATTACATCGTGAACACAATTTAAGATGGTAGTAAAAACCCAATTTGGAAAAACGCCAATAGTTCAGTATGGCCAAGAAATCTAAACTTAACCAATTACAGAACTACCAAGTAAATAATAAACTCACAAAAGTCCTTCCTAGAATCTTGAAGTTCTACTGTTGTACATCAGGTATCAACTATTCGACAACACATCACCACCTTACCGCAATATAACCCCACCACTGAACTCCTTAACGTTAATTATAAGACCACCACGACCGATCACAGCCCCGTAGAACACTTTTGCGGAGGAACTCGTAAACAAAATCGAGACGAAAAGTAAGACCCAACACACCAATCTTTTCAACATTCTAGGTGTTTGGAAGTACTTCGAAATTCCAAAGTCCTAACTTACTTGTCACAATGTTCAAAAACCTCATTTATAGTGAATTTATTCAATTACAATGACACACATAGCTGGTAAAGTACGGAGAAAACACCATCTATAGATGGTGCAACTGTACAATATGTTCCAATATTTCAATTCTGCACTGAAAGTTTTCAGCAAATTTGTAACCACGTGTATCTTATTACTAACTTAATAGTCACGTTATCCTTGAAATTTAATGCATTTCAGTAAAAAAAAGACAAATCTGTGCGTCGAAACAAGTAGAGACAAATAATACACGACAATGTGCAAACATGTACCAATAAGCGATGTATGAATATTATAAGAATGAAAAAGAAAAGTCAAAAAACCTCAATATATCAGAAGAAAAGTAATATCATCAAAGCCTCACACACAATACAACAGCAAGTAATAACATGAAGATTATATATATATAT